CGCCGCGGGGATCCGCGCCCCTCCCGCGCCGCGCCATGGTCGACACCAGGCGCAGCTCCGCGGGGAAGCGCCGGGCCTCGTCGGAGGAGGCCTCGCCCCCGACGCCCCCGCCCGCGGCGGCCTCGGGCGCGGGCGCGGGCGACGCGCCGGGGGCGTCGGCGTCCGCGCCCGCGGCGGAGGCCGCCTCCCCACCGCCCCCGCGGAGCCGCTCGGCCAAGCGGGCCAAGGTCCCTGCGCGCGTTCCTCTGTTTTGTGTCGCGGATGATTTCCGGGAATCGATTGATCTGATTATTCGTTGCTGTGCGGTGGTGGTGGTGGCAGGGCAAGACGACGTGCGTGGTGTCAGCCCCCGTGTTCGAGGCTGCCGCCAAGGCAGCGGGCCGCGTGATCGAGAGCTCGCAGCTGAGCGCGCCGGCCGTGGAGAGGTCCGCCGGGGCCGTCGCGGCGTCGTCCACCGTGTCGAATTCAGGAGGTGCGTGCTGTTAGGTTCTGAGTTCACGGTTCGTTTCAGGGGGGCTAGGGCTTGGTTTAGCCCGGGGGGAGGTTTTTGATTGCTCCTTTTCTTTTTGCTGAAGCTTCAGCGAGGAAGAAGAGGACGCCCAGGCGTCTGCCTCCGTCCGACGAGACGACGGCGGAAGAGATGACGCAGTGGAAGACGAGGCGCGGGGCGGCCAGTAGCCGGACTCATGCTTGGGCCAGACTGATTTCCCAATCTTCTCAGGTCTGTTGTTTAGGACAACTCACTGATGTGAGGAACAGTGCCACAATTCTATTTGGTGACCGTATAGCATCTAATCAAGTTATTTGACGGACAATTGAACTGCTGCACCCTTCCTAGCTATCAAACAGCACAAACATGTTAGTAAACATAGGAGATTTTAATTCAAAATTCATTTTGTTACAAATTTGTGTCTTGAGTGGGTCAATTGTGAATCATCTGTCATGTAACGCTTCATGCATGGCTTTAGTTGGCAACACAGAACCATTATGTGCTCTTGGAGCTGAAACTAGCTTTTCTTCAAAATGGAGCGAAGAACAGTTCCACCTAAGTTATCCAAATATCAGAGAACATCGACTAGTTATCCTCGTTTTGCTACTGTTTGCTGGCTTCTATACATTATCTACTTCCTGTCATTATTTGGCCCGACATGTATAATGCCTTTGTCAGAGTTTTATTAAACATTGTGATTTTTGTGTATGTGGGTTTTGTAATCTTGCGCTACTAACTGTTCAGTAATTTTAAAATCATCATTCTGATATTTATCTTGAGTTTCCAGTCTCCTGCATTCGCAACTATAGGATTGCTATTGTCTGCCTGCTCAAATTTAAGCGTACTAAGCTAATATCATGTTTAGATGCCAATCCCTGCCAGTTGCCACAGCCACCATTGAGTCATTTAATTTGTATTGTGGACTTGCGTAATCATCTTATTTGTAAAATCTTGAACGTTTTTTTCTACAGTTGAGTAGGAACATCTTACGTTACTCTGAAATTGTATGGAGGTTCATTTGGACCATTTGATCCAAATGAATCACATTGGATCAAGGGTGATCCCTGTTGTTGGTGCATACATGCATAGCAAATACCATTTCACAGTTACTTGTTTTTGAGTTGCTGACATCTGTTTTTTGTAACCGCGTCAAATAGCCTTACCATTTTGTCAATTCCCCACTTAGTTCTGTAGTATTGGTAATTTAGTCTTAGCATTTACTAATTTTAAACAATTATCTTTGCTAATGATTATATTCTTCTTTCTGCTGTTCAGTATCCCACGGTTCCTATTTATGCTTCCTATTTCACCGTTGGTCATGGTGGTAAACATGATTTGAAACTGACGGATGCATTATCTGGATCACTTGTTTGCAGACTGAGGCATGTTAGGGTATGGTTGCATTCTTAATTTTATTAATTTATTAGTACTCCGTTTTTCCTGCATTCATCATTTTGAAGTTTTGACCGTCAATTTTGATCTGTTTACCAGAGGGGTGCTGCCCTTGAGGTCTCTATATCCAAAGTTGTCTATGTAAATGGGAAGGCCTTAGACAAGGCTGCTAAGGTCACCTTGACTGGAGGCGACGAAGTTGTTTTTAGTTCACTTGGGAGGCATGCTTATGTATCCTTTTTTGTGACTGACCACTTTGTTAATATGTATTGCTCCTATCTGCGATTACAGGCATGTCTGGATGTTTTTGCCACTGTGCTTTGTTAAGCAACACTAGCAATGTTTGATTTTCTCCTGCCTTGCAAGCGAAATGAGATTGTGCTTTCTATGATAGTATAATTTGTTGCTCAAAATATTGTATGTATTTATTTGAAACTGTGTAGTGGACTACACCAGGAAAAACTTTACAGGCTAACAATGCCCACATGAAATAATTGGCAGCTAATTTGGGCCTGCCAAAACTTGGCCTTACTAGGCAAAGTTAGATGGACAGATGTTGGGGTTAGCAAGGGAACCAAACGTGTCCTACTCCTACTTGTATGCACAATTATGCATTTTAGATGTGGAAGTCCTTAACATGTTGGCAGATATTTCAGCCTCTTCCAGAGGAAAAATCAAGCACATCAACCTTTTCTTCCCGAAGTTTCGTTCAGCAAGGGCAGTATCCAGTTATGAAAGGCACACTGGATCATTTATCATCTAAAAGGGCCAAGTTATCAGTGCCGTTTAATTTTGGTAGTGGCTGCTCTCCATCTGTTCCTCATGGTGAGACAGCTTCATTTCTTCCCTAAGGCCCTACTAATCCCTAACTTCTTAGAAAAGGGGATGCAGCATAAGAGGACTTCTGTTTTTTTTTCTTGTTTCTCAAAACTGGGTACCCCCTCCGTATTTATTTACTCTGCATGTTAGATTTGACTGAAGTCAAACTTCATAATGTTTGACCGAGTTTATAGAAAAAAATATGAACATTTACAATAACAAATCTGTATGATGTGAAAGTATATTCAATAATGAATCTAATGGTATTGATTTGTTATTGTATATGCTAATATTTTTGTCTATAAACTTCATCAAAGTTTATAAAGTTTGACTTTGACCAAAGCTAATATGCGGAGTAAATAAAAACAGAGGGAGTACCTTTTATTTGTTATTATGATGAAAGAGAAAAGTGAGGCTAAACAGATCTCTTTTTTGTTCACTAGATACAGAGATAGTCAGCAGTTTATGTAAAACAATGGAGGAGCAGAACCAGTTCTCTTCTGAAGAAAATGTGCCATTTGCTCAACATAAACTTTTAAAAGAAGATCTGAAGAAGGCAGTTGTTAGTGCAAGTGATATATCAGAGTCATTTGATAGTTTTCCATATTATCTGAGGTATCTAGACTATTACTCTCTTCATGGAAAATAACAGCTCTTTTGTTATATTGTTCGAGATATAGAAATATATATGATTTGATGAATCTCTTATTATCCTTCATTTTAGGAGCCTATAATGCTCATTTTGTACTTCACATAATAAGTAAGAAATTCTTATAATGATCCTATAGAAGGATGATTTCTCCCCAATTGCTTAGTTCTGTAATATGATAACATATTGGTTGCAACAGCACAACTCCAGATTTAGTGGATTCATCCTCTTATTGTTTCTGCTCACATTTTTAACTCAACAGTGCAAATTGCTGAAAAGCATATTTGTTATCCATGGTATTTTACTTTCACAAACCCCATTTCTCTTCTTATTTGTTATTCCTCATATCATCCTTAAAAAAATGTAAGGAAAATAATTGCAATGCCATTCTCATATCTAAAATCATACTTTCTTTTAGCTAGTAAGTTGTGACGCCATTTTCTAAAGAAGTAAGATGTGACATAATGGCAGGCAGAATGATCGGTTGGTCATAGTGCATGATCATTGGATATACTAAATTTTGCTCCTACAAATATTTCAATTGGTGATAGTGGTTCGTTGGTCTCCTCCTCTCACCCTGATGTGACCCATTAGATCTGTTGCAAACAGCGGAGATGTTAGTCCTGTTTGATGCCAAAATTAGTACTCCCTCCGTTCCTAAATATAGGTCTTTCTAGAGATTTCAACAACTGTCTACATACGGAGCAAAATGAGTGAATATACACTCTAAAATATGTCTATGTACATCCGTATGTGGTAGTCCATTTGAAATCTGAAAAAAGACTTATATTTAGGAACGGAGGGAGTATATAAAGTTACCCCCCCAACTGGCTCAAGTGTATGAACACATCACATAGGCTTAAGCTTGGCATCACCATCATGGTGGTTTTGAGTAGTTTGATTCGTTTTATGAGTAGCAACCTATTGGATATCTAATAATCTAAGTTGTTTTATATTTTGCAAGACACAAGCATTTAGCAAGTGAGTACTAATTACTCGACTACAACCTACTTTTTTTTCCAGTTAATTTGGCCTGTTGCATATTGATTGATTGGTCTCTGGTGGTTAAGAACTATCTTTGATGCCTTCTCATCCTTGCAGCGAGAATACCAAAAGTTCTCTCCTGACACCAGCACATGTAAATTTGTGTTGCAAGGAAGCCATGGAGTGGACAAAAAAAATATCTTTTATTTCTCAACGAGTACTATTATCTGGTCCAGCAGGTATTAGTTTACTTGATGAAATTATGGGATATTGCAGTTAGTGATTTTGTATATTTGTTAAATGCTAAATGCTTGGAGCGTTCACTAAAAACAAATTTTCTTTTTGTAGGGTCTGAGATATACCAAGAAACATTGATGAAGGCTCTCACCAAACACTTCGATGCTAGGCTGCTCGTTGTAGATTCATCATTGCTGTCGAGTGTAAGCCTCTTGACCATGCCATGCTTATTCTTCTAACAGCGCCACCGCAGCTCATTTTGAAGAAAGCACAACCAATTCTATTGTAGGCCTTATCTTTTTGTAAGATGACAGATATGCGTCTTCTTTTTTGTGAGATGAAATATATGCTTCAACTATTTTACTTTACCTTTTTGTGCAATGCTGCTAGTATTTTCTGGAAGCTTGAAATGTTTTCTTCTTTGAGAGTTTGAACTTTGTAAACAAGCTGTACAGCAGAGTTGCAGTAAACTCAGAGTACTGGTGCTGTTTATAAATACATCCGAAAAGATGTAGCATTAGTTAATTTCACCATAAATGAATCAGCTGACACATTGAGATGTAAACTAGAAAATGATGTCTGCTGTAAATTACTCACTGATGCAACTGCATGCTCGCTTTAAATAGTTGCATATGAATTGTGTGCAAAAAGAGAGGGACAAGGGGTGTGTGTGTGTGTGTGTGTGTGTGTGTGTGTGTCTTTTCTTTGGTACTTCTTTAGTTCAAATTCAAATGCCAACATCCAAGTATCATTTTTTTTCAGGGACAGTCTTCAAAGTCAAAGGAGTCAGAGCCGTACAAAAGAGGTAAGGCTATCATGACTCTGTTATTAGCACTATATTTTTTTTGCAACTATTTTGAAGTCTAGATGTTGAGAGTACCTGTTGAATTGAGTATGAGACTGTACTGTTTGTTTTTACAATATTTTTTTAGTGTAATGAAACCACCTGATGTAGCGGTAGTAATGCTTCTGATATTTTGATCAGGTGATAGGGTGAGATACATTGGTTCTTTGCAGTCAACAAGGTTTATCCTTGAGGGACAAAGGTGTGGCCCATACCTTAAGATTTGTTTTTTTAAATGTGCATCCATTCAGCTTCCTGCGCCACATGTGTGAATGTTCCAGGAGTTTTTTTGATGTAATTTTTTCTCTTGATTACTCTTTAGTACTTTTCATGCTATAGCAGTTTTGAGTAGGAGGGTTTATACAAATAGAAAAATATTTGTGCTGTGGAAAGCTGGAAAACCTATTGTATGATATACGATGATCGTGAGTTGCTATAGAGAGTTTGCAGTAACTGGTAGCAGCTATAAGCTTTTTTACAAGGGTCTGGATTTAGCCGTGTTTGCAATGCAGGATTCTCATATGAATTTTTCAGGAAACTGCACATCCAGCGGGATTATAAGTTTCCTTTTGTATGAAATTCTTAAGTTCCAAACGGGTTAGATGGAAAAGTAGATCTGATGCAATAATCATGAGAATCATCCTTTCTCTGTTTTCCTGTAAATATTGCATATTATATTGTACTGCATTGATCTTTTGTACTTAAGTTGCGTAGTCTATCTTAGATGGCAGTAGGTTTTCTTATATTGGATAAAAGAACCAGGCTGGTTTGAGTCCCTGCTTGTGTGATGATATGTAATGATCGCTAACTATATGGATTTTCTGAATTCTTACCTATTATGTTAGCATTCCACCCCTTTGTTTGCAATTGACCTCTCTTGGTGTTGCCTTTTGCATATTTTACTTGCATCTATTAAAAATTTATGCCAAATTATAAATCTGCAGAGCTCCAGATTATGGTTCCCAGGGTGAAGTGCGACTTCCTTTTGAGGAAAATGGATCCTCAAAAATTGGAGTCAGTTTTGACAAACCAATCCCTGGGGGCATTGATCTAGGAGGCAATTGTGAGGTTGATCATGGTTTCTTCTGTTCAGGTGAGTTTTTCTTCTTCTGTTGTTCTTATGCACTTTTTAATAACTTATAACTACTCCCTCCGTTCGGAATTAGTTGTCGTAGAAATGGATGTATCTAGATGTATTTTAGTTCTAGATACATCCATTTCCGAGACAAGTAATTCCGAACGGAGGGAGTATATCATATGCAGTGTTTTTTGCCATTTTTTGCTATATTGTTAATTTTTGTAACAACTTACTTATGCCTATTTGTATTTCCAGTTGATTCTCTGTGCCTCGATGGTCCAGGATGGGAAGATAGAGCTAAACATCCATTTGATGTAATATTTGAGGTTTGTACGATCTTCGCAACCTTATTTTTATCAGCATTTGTCATTTTTTTTCTATTACTCACTGGGATTTTATGCAGTTTGTTTCTGAAGAAAGTGCGCATGGACCCCTTATCCTATTTTTGAAGGACGTTGAGAAAGTGTGTGGAAACACTTACTCTTATCATGGTCTAAAGAGCAAGCTCGAAATTTTTCCAGCAGGTGTTTTTGTTATTGGGTCTCAGACCCAGGCAGACAGTCGGAAAGATAAGGTACTTGCTGTAAAGATAATCTGCACCCGATTTCTAAGTATTCATTCTTTAGCTAACAAAAAAGACGTTGTTTATACAGCTAAACGGGTCTCCTTTCCTGTCGAAGTTCCCATACGGGCAAGCAGCAATACTTGACCTTGCGTTCCAGGTGCCTTTTCTGGTTTTGCTGGAAGTATCCCTACTTATGCCATGCTAGTGTAGGGACTCCATGGCACTACAACACATTGTCAGCTTATACTGAAAGGATATTTCTGATATATATCTCAATTGCTTATTATCTTGTCCACTGTATTATTTTTCTTACTGGATCCTTTTATCAATTAAATTAAATTATGGGTTCTGTTATAAGTGCTCTGTTACACTTTTTTGCTGTTACAATCTAATGTACACCAATGCAGGATAGCTTTGGCCGGGTGAATGATAAAACCAAAGAAGCAGCGAAGACTGCGAAGCATGTCACTAAACTTTTCCCCAGTAAAGTGACAATACAACCACCACAGGTATGCCATTTGTGTTACTCAACAATGATGTCTACTTGGTAGTGTCCTCTCCTAGTTATAACTCTGAATACATGCTACAGGATGACTTGGAACTCTCAAAGTGGAAACAGCTATTGGACCGTGATATTGAAATTCTGAAAGTGAAGGCTAACATTTCAAAAGTCCAGTCTGTAAGTATTAATTAGTGACTCGTCATTTTGTATATTACTTTTGGACTATAATAGACTAAAAAACCTTCAATGTTCTTTTGCTCTTGAACATACCCAATGTTATTATGTTTCAGTTTTAAGTAACTGCTTGTTTGCACATCCCTGTTATTCAATTATCATATGTTCCATTACTCTTCAGCCAAATGTCTTGCGTTTTTTATGTATTTCCCTATGTAGCTGGGAGTCCAAACATGATTATTAAAAAAAGTACGTCATTATGCTGCTATTAGATTCCCAGAGTGATTAGGATGTTCTGGTTTTTATTTGACAATTTTCCTATGTTTTGTTGAAACTTTTGATAGATTTGCATCCACTATGCGACAAAATAGTATTGCTGCATCACCTGTACTAGTGCGACCTCTAAAATGGAATTGTCGCTCCACTCAACTGATGTTGCTGTTCCTTATATCTCTTGGTTTAACTAATGTCTTTATGCAATCGGATGCAGTTTCTAACTCGCAATGGTCTGGAATGTGCTGATGTAGAGACCACAGTATGTGTTAAAGATCGAACTCTTACAAATGAATGTGAGTAGTCATTCCTACATGATGTTTTATCCTGTATAATGTCCATGTAGCATCATCTGTCTATTGTTTTTGTTTCCAGGTGTCGATAAAATAGTTGGTTATGCTTTGAGTCATCAAGTTATGAATTCAACTGTTCCAACTCCTGGAAAGGATGTGTTACTTGCTCTTTCTGGTGAAAGGTTTATTCTCTAACCTTGTACACTTCACAAAGTTGTGCAAGAAAGTTCTTTCTGGTTCATCTAATGATTATTTTACTGAAATTGTTGCATTTCAGCCTTCAGCATGGGGTTGATTTGTCGGAAAGTATGCAAAATGACCATAAGAAAAAGAGCACAAAGAAATCACTCAAGGTGACTTGTCTTTTTTTCTTAGTAGCAAAGATCACCTCATGTATATGACTTGACCTGGCCATGTTCAGCCTGGCCCAGTTATTTATTTAAAGCGTGCAAATAAGTCAGGCTGAGTTTGAGTTTCACCTATTATTTGAGGCTCTGGGCCTTGTGACATTAATGGTGTCTAATGCCAATGACTTACATACATTCCTTTTCATTGTTAGGATGTTGCCACGGAGAATGAATTTGAAAAGAGGCTTCTTAGTGATGTTATCCCTCCAGATGAGATAGGTGTTTCCTTTGATGACATTGGAGCGCTAGAGAATGTCAAGGAAACTTTGAAGGAATTAGTGATGCTTCCATTGCAAAGGCCAGAGTTGTTCTCCAAGGGACAACTTATGAAGGTACAAGGCATTCTCAAGCTTCATTATTTATGCTTAATATTCTTGTAAAACAATCCACATGTTCCTTCTGTGAGTCCTCTGTTTCACCTGTAACAATGGCTCCTTGTTTTGTCATTTGCCTTTATAGTTAGATATCCCCCTTTCTGCACTTATGACTCATCCTTGTTGAGTGGTTTTGTAAATATTGTAATGCTGTCCACCTGTGGTTTGTCCATCATGTCCTATCATTCTGTGCTATCTAGCATTTTGAATTTATGTATGATGCTTTTGTGAGCCATCTGTTATACAGCTTCTGTTTCTAAATATAAGACGTCCCATTAGTTCAATTTAAACTGCAAGAACATGTAATTTCTACTCCCTCTGTATCAAAATACTTGTAGTTGGGGAATACTAGTACAAGTTCCCCCAATGACAAGTATTATGGTACAGAGGGAGTAGTTAATATCATGCAATCCCAAAATTAATTGAAAAAAGCAACAAGAATCACTTCAAACTGAATGTAGCAGCTTGAATACTGCCGTTATCATATTGCTCTCCTTATTAATTAGTACTCCCTCCGTCCCATAATGTAAGATGTTTTTTGATACTAGTGCAGTGTCAAAAAATGTCTTACATTATGGGACGGAGGGAGTAGTATTTCTTAACTTACCCAGTGTGTAATATTGATCTGATTTTTCATTTTGCACCAGCCATGTAAAGGAATATTGCTTTTTGGTCCACCTGGTACGGGGAAGACCATGCTTGCTAAAGCTGTTGCAACAGAGGCTGGTGCTAACTTCATCAACATATCAATGTCAAGCATTGGCTCGAAGGTTTTCCCATAACAGATATTTATCTAGATTCCTCTCCTCTGTTAGTTCTACATTTTCTTACCTGTAATTGTAACAGTGGTTTGGCGAGGGGGAAAAATATGTGAAAGCTGTGTTTTCACTTGCAAGCAAAATTGCTCCCAGTGTCATTTTTGTGGATGAGGTCAGTCAAAAAATTTCATCATCATTGATGATATGATTATGGTTCAACAGGCTGCACAATAATAGTGTCTTAATTAAGAGAACTTGCTGTGTTCCCTGATTTGCAGGTTGACGGCATGCTGGGTAGACGTGAAAACCCAGGGGAACATGAAGCCATGCGTAAGATGAAAAATGAATTTATGGTGAACTGGGATGGTCTGAGAACAAAAGACAAAGAACGTGTATTAGTACTTGCTGCCACTAATAGGCCGTTTGATCTTGATGAGGCTGTTATTAGGAGGCTCCCAAGGAGGTATGGGTATACATATTTTAACAAATAAATGCAAATTGTGACTCTGGCATTGCCAACCAGTCAATAATTCTTCTGAAACTTTTGTTTAGGTTGATGGTGAATTTACCAGACGCAACCAATAGGAAAATAATTATTAGTGTAATACTAGCCAAAGAAGATTTGGCAGAAGATGTAGATCTGGAAGCAGTGGCCAGCTTGACTGAGGGGTATTCAGGCAGTGATCTGAAGGTATTTAGTTTTATGTTAACATTATTTTGTTTCTTATTTGATTTCCTTTTTAAACAGGTAATTTCCATATTCTGTCTGCTGACAATTTTAATTTTCCCCAGAATCTGTGTATTACTGCTGCACATCGTCCCATAAGGGAACTCCTTGAAAAAGAGAAGAAGGTTAGTTTTTAATTCTTAATTTCTTGAACTACTTTCCTATGCGTTGTCAGTTCTACTGATTAATAATCTCTGATCCTTCTGATTTCTCTCAATGGTTCTGATGTTATCGATGCTTTTAGAATCTCTGGTTAACCAAATCATTAATAATTTGAGTTGACTTATTTATGATTATCCTTGTTGAGGCTACATCAGACCTCTAATCTATCATCTTGTGTCTACTTGCAGGAGAGATCCTTAGCAGAAGCAGAAAACAAATCATTGCCTCCTAAGTATTCTAGCAGTGATGTCCGTCCCCTAAATATGAGTGATCTCAAACAGGCACACGAGCAGGTAAATATTACTGCTGTTTTTCTTCTGGAAAAGAAGAGAAAAATAAACTTAATGCAAATCAGACTCAACTACACTAGTAGATTTGATGCCCCTCACCGCCTGCAGAACTTAATCCATCAAATATATAACAAATGCTGATGACAGCTCTTGCGGGCTTAGTTCCAAGATTGGAGAGTGTAATGCTAGTATTGATATGTTCTGGGTTGTAGCGCAATTTGTTTCTAGGATACAAGTAGATTTGATGCCCCTTGCCGCCTGTGAAACTTAATCCATCAAATATATAACAAATGCTGATGACGGCTCTTGCGGGTTTAGTTCCAAGATTGGAGAGTGTAATGCCAGTATTGATATGTTCTGGGTTGTTATGGTTTTAAATAGCCCGCTATAGCTCCGCTATAGCACGCTATAGCGTTTAGAAGAGGTCCTGTGCTAAGGGTCTTTTGTCCAAACACATAAGCATACATTTTAAATAGCTCGCTATAGCATTTAGAAGAGGTCCGCCGCTAAGAGGCTTAGCGTGCTATTTAAAACTTAATGTAGCGTCAATTTGTTTCTAGGATATAGTCTCTCCGTCCCAAAATAAGTGTCTTAAGTTTAGTACTTGCTTTGAGACGAGGGAGTACTAGAATAAATTAAGGTTACCCGCATTGTCATTTTATGTTTTCTCATCTCCAAGTTGTTGATAAAAGTGTGATCCTAACGTAACTTGCCTTGTGTGTAGGTATGTGCAAGTATATCATCTGATTCGACAAATATGAACGAGCTTGTTCAGTGGAACGAGCTTTACGGCGAAGGCGGATCTAGAAAGAAGACGCCTCTAAGCTACTTCATGTAGCTTATGTGTAGCCTGTACATAGAGCAGAAGCATTAGAGTGAAGCGACTGAGAAGATAGATAATGAATAGCTCTGTTGGTTCTTCATTTATAGGCAATTTTTTTGAGTCAATTGTTTTGTAATGTCAGTTGGGAGTTTCGACAGATAGCGTAGGACCTGGTTGGTCCACCATTCTCCTTGCAAACCTGTATGTAGACTGAGCATCAGAATACAGTTCAGGGTGCTTAGACCAGTGTGAATCCATTTAGGTCTTGTATACAGATACAGTGCAGGGTGCTTAGAAGAGGTGCTTATAGTAAAATAAACTGAGTTTTTCTCAAGCATTAGTGCTTGTCTCTGTAGAAGGGGTGTCTAATTAAGCATCTACTCTTTACAAATAAACACCTTGTATTACAAGGCCTTAATCAAGACATGGATGCGGTATGTTCCTTAGTGGTTTCTACCTTTAGGTCAACTGTCCAGCGACCTGACCGAAACGGAATCACATGCCCTGGTGGAGAGTTAGAATCTACAACGGGGAAGGCGAAACAACACTTGCAATTTGATTGTTTTCGAAAAAAGACTAGTTACACGGAGTTCACATACGACGATTGAAGTCAGCGGGTGGGAATAAACAACTTGCACTGATCGAACCAGGGGAACAAAGTGTGTTTTGTTATACCCATCTTAGGCGACGATGAACCTGAACGTTTTTGGCAGTACAAACCCAAATGATCGCATATACGCGAATCTTGAGATTAACGGAGTCATCGCAAGTTTGATGGAGATGTCGTGCCGCACTACATGGAATCAAAATCACTTGTAGATCAGTCATCTGTGTCACACTACGAAGTCGTTCTACTCGCAGTTACACGGTAATTCACACGAAGAAAGACTATAAAAGTCTCTATTCTGTTCTGGTTTTGCTTCACATGGTGCGATTCATGAGCCCGTAGACGAGCACGAGCCCCATGATGAGCGAGTCGTCGACGCCGGGCTCCACCACCAGGGCGAGCACGTCCTCCCCGAGAGCCACCCCGCCCGCCGTCACCTTCCTCTTCACCTCCGCCACCACCAGCCCCGTGCCGGCGTCCACGATCCTGCAGCACGCCCGCTTCCCGGCGCGCGCCCCGCCGTCGTCGTCGATCCTGTACCGCATGGCGCAGCCGGCGTCGCTCTCGAACTCGCACGGCGACGACGACGGGCGGCCGCCGCTCCGGTGGAAGATGCCGCTGCGCGGCCGCGCCACCTTGAACCACGCGCTCGCCTCTTGCTTCCGGCCGGTCCACTTGTACCCTTCCCACTTGCCAAACGCGAGCTTCTGCATGAACCCACAATCATAAGTAAACTGGCCAGAAAACGCGATCGAGCTTCTTGGCTATAGAAAAGAAGCTACGCTGTACACACCTTCTTGTGTATGTTGACGACGACGTTGCCGCGGAGGTCCATGAGGCAGACGTTGTCGCTGCACTTGGAGCCGTAGTTGTCGACGCGGTAGACGATGTGGCCGTCGGAGTCGTACACGGTGCACCCCCGCCCGTTGAGCACCAGCGACTTGAGCCACAGCGTGAACACCTTCCCGCTTCTCTCGCCCGCGCACGCCGCCGCCGCCGGCGACGAAGAAGAAGGAAACGACGGCGAAGAGTGTACCCTCGCCATCTCTGCGCGTACTAATTAAGTTTTTCTGTCTGCGCGCTAATGTGTCTCTCTATGTGATCTGGTTAAGTAAGCTAGGGCTCGATATATACACAGAGGAGGAAGAGAGCAAAAGCGCAAAAGTGCTGGTGACGTGGTTGCTGGCTCGCTTAAACTATATGGATCGAGAGAGGACAAATTGGGATGATGCTCTTTTTGGAGTATTAGTTAGTTAATCAGATGATATTTAAAAACCCCTTGAAACACATTTATGCCATGCATGCTTATCGAGCTGTGGCGGCAATTTTAATTAGGCAAATAGTCAATCCGCGTCCAAGTTCCAGTGCTTCCTGCGTGCGGTTTTCTACCCTAATTTTCATCTCGCCAACGAGCACTGAAACCAACGGCAGGCCAACCATTTCAGCGCAAGACAAAGCCATCTCAAAATAGCCGTGCCTAATTAGTACTAATAACCTCAAACTAGAAGCATGACAGCGACATTTACAACGGCCCTTGGTACTTCATAGGATCGGGCTCAAAGTAGTAGCAAGAAAAGTGCATGCGTCGAGATGCTAGCCAGTCGCCTTTTGCATGGTTTGGAACTGCAGTTGCTGACGGGACGAAGCAACAGCAATACTCTAGTTAGTAGGCAATAATGCGGATTAGAAGTGCTTAAATAAGGCAAGTAGATCAGTACGAGATGTCTAGTCAGCCGTAGCAGGCGGGAGGCAGCACTCACGCCCGTCGTCACCAAAGCGGGAAAGGAAAAAGCGCCACACAAGGTTCCAAAAAGGAACTGATTTTTCCATCCAGCTGATGCTAATCGGCTATTGGCAGCTGATGCGCGCGTACTTAAATAAATATGTTAGTCTGCATAGTAGTAGGTCGGGGTCGACGATGATGCGAGCCGGTTCAGTCCGAGGCTGCAGATAAGCACTCGGGTTCTTGAGCAGAGAGCAGAAGGACACACATGCTTCTATTGTTAAGTACCGACCGTGTAAGGATATCTCCATTGTTTTTAGGCAGGAGATTTTGGGTAGTATAGATGATTGCTGTTGCTATTTTTAGGCCGTCTGAGAAATGCCCATTTCCAATGATTTCTGAAAAGTACAATTATTCAATTTTCGGTGGATAAATAATAATATAAAGTACTAGCCTACGCGCAGAAGTTGGAGATGCCCGTGGTAATAATGCAAGACAACTCGAAACAGGACCAGCGGTTGTTGCTTGCTGCATGCTGGGCTTAAGCAATTTTTAAATTTTGGATCGGCGAAATTCGTCTAGTTAAGCTGGTGATCCCTGATCCGGATCCTGATACAGTGGTCCTGACCCTGATGCAGTGGTCCTGATCCTGTTGATTAACTGGCAGTTTAGCACCTTGTTATTGACACAAATAGCTTCCGACAAGGTGTGCAGATGGTTGCCTTGTCAAAATTGAGGTGCCTAGCTATATATATTCAGTGAGTGGTTCTGGCAGGGACTCCATTGGTTGCTGGGACGCTAGCCATGTTCATGCGATCACGCTCAGCTAGTTTGAGTCATGGAGCAGATCATAAGGCGGCTTGAGCTGAGTTAGTCTATTCTGAGTTCTCGTCGACCAAAAACATGTGCTCACCCTCGCTGCCCTAACATGTCGTCATTGGGTTTCAGATGAATTGATTGACTGAATCTCATGTCCAAGTTCAAATTTGATAGGCATTGCTTTTTTTTTTCCTTTTCTTTTCTAGAATCCTTGCTGCTGTGACATGGTATGCCAGTTGCAGACTTGTCGTCCTAACTCATGTCGTTTCTTTAGATTTGGGGATGCGATGATTATGTCAAAAGGCTTCAGCTGAAAAAGCTCGAACCCAAAGCGGACAAATGCGTCTTCATAGGATACCCAAGAGAGACGGTTGGGCATACCTTCTATCTCAGATCCGAAGGCAAAGTGTTTGTCGCTAAGAATGAGTCCTTTCTCGACAAAGAGTTTCTCTCGAAAGAATTGAGTGGGACGAAGATAGAACTTGATGAGATTGTTGAACTTTTACTTCAACTAGAGAGTAGCACAACACAGAAAGGTGTTTCTGTGACACCTGCGTCAGTTGAAGATGAAGCTAATGATCATGATCATGAATCTTCGGATCAAGTTACTATCGAACCTCGTAGGTCGACAAGGGTATGTACAACTCCTGAGTGGTACGGTAACCCTATCTTAGAGGTCATGTTGTTGGACAACGATGAACCTACAAGCTATGGAGAAGCGATGGTGGGCCCGGATTCCGACAATTGGTTAGAGGCCATGAAATACGAGATGGGATCCATGTATGAAAACAAAGTATGGACTTTGAAAGTATTACCTGAAGGGCGAAAGGTCATTCAGAATAAATGGATCTTAAAGAAGAAGACGGACGTAGACGGTAATGTCACCATCTATAAAGCTCGACTTGTGGCAAAAGGGTTTTCACAAGTTCAAGGAGTTGACTACGATGAGACTTTCTCACCCATAGCGATGCTTAAGTTCGTCAGAATCATCTTGGCAATAGCTGCATTTTTCGATTATGAAAACTGACAGATGGATGTCAAAACAACATTCCTTAATGGTTTCCTTAAGTAAGAGTTGTATATGATGCAACTGGAAGGTTTTGTCATTCAGGGAATGCTGACAAAGTGCACAAACTCTAGCTGTCATTTATGGACTGGTGCAAGCATCTCGAAGTTGGAATCTTTGCTTTGATGAGGTGATCAAAGCGTTTGGGTTTATACAAGTTTTCGGAGAATCTTGTATTTACAAGAAAGTGAGTGTGAGCTCTATATAATTTCTAATATTATATGTGGATGACATATTGCTGATTGGAAACAATATATAACTATTCGAAAACCTGAAGGAATATTTGAACAAGAGTTTTTCAATGAAGGACCTAAGAGAAGTTGCTTTCATATTAGGCATCAAGATCTATAGAGATAGATCGAGTCGCTTAATAGGACTTTCACAAAGCACATACCTTGATAAGATTTTTAAGAAGTTTAAAATGAATCAGTCTAAGAAGGGATTCTTGTCTGTTTTGCAAGGTGTGAAGTTAAGTCATCCCCTATGCTTCTGCCATAGGCACCATCATGTATGCGATGCTGTGCACAAGACCGGATGCCAGCCTTGCCATAAGTATGGCAGGGAGGTTTCAAAGTAATCCAGGAATGGATCACTATATAGCGGTGAAGAATATCCTTAAGTACCTGAAAAGGACTAAGGAAATGAGCACAAATAGAACAAGATGACTAGACATCTATCCTATTATGAGACCGCCATCCTAACTGGTTGTAGGTATCCCGTGCTATCGTCTTCTAACGGTTGCACTCATAAGTCATATGCTCGTTGACTTTCGCATGGCTGAGTGGCGACCACGTACGGATCTAGCCAGTTACCATGTAGATGACCTCCACAAGATTTGTATTGGGTTGTCTGTTGAAAATCACATCATTTCGACAGTTTCATATAGCCCAAATTAATGCACCCACTCCGATCCGAATATTCGCCGCTATTTTAGGCTCTACCCATTTAGCAATGTCCCAAATAATGTGGCAATACTATTAGGAGGACTGACAATAAATGCGACATGTAATATATGCCATAGTAGCCTGGCTAGAGGGCATTTAAGAAAAAGATGTTGGATAGTCTCATCTCAATAGCAGAAACAACAGTGTTTGCTATCCTTCCAACTACGTTTCAACAAGTTGTCCTTACTCAAAATCACATCCTTGTGAGCAAGCCACATAAATACCTTTATCTTTAAAGGCGCCTTAATGAACTTTCCAGATATACATAGATTTCATAAAGAAAAAACCCGAACAGAGATTTTCCAGTGTAG